CATAGCTATCCTTGTGTTCTAGAGAATTTTAGCAAAGGTAAACTTTTACCAGCAGGAATTCCTGTTGCAGAACAATGCCCTGTTCTTATGTACATTCATGAAGTCAAAATGATCACATAAGCTGGAGCTGAGCACTCCCCAGGCAGAACATATGCTGTTGCGTCTTCATTGTTTAATATTTCAGTGTTGTTACACTGAAACTCAATCATAATTTTACCCTTTCAGACATACTTTTAAAAGAAAAAAAGTGAAAACGCATTGAAAGAGAGGAGGGAAGAAGAATGCCTTCCAGGTCATCAATTTCAATTCCAGGACAATAAGGCTGAGCCTTAGAGCTGCACTGAGACAGAGTGAAACATTTAAAAATCTATAAACCAGTGATTTAACAAACCACTAACTAAAAGGAGGCATCTGATTATATAAAATTGCCAAGCAGATGCCAAGAATGCTATTATGGTTTTCAATCATTTACTGCTTACACTTTACTCTGAAAGCCATTCCTTCTTTTTTTTATATTCTCCTAGAAGCTTCAAAGTCTAGCCAGCATGGAGCCTGGGAAAAAATGCAGGAAAGTGGAGGAGGAGGAGAGGGGGAGGGGAAAAAAGCCACCCCACACCCAAACTTCAGTCTCTTTCCAGTGTTCTCCACTTTTATAGTTCAAGACACCAGATATTTTAGCAACTTAACGAGCCAGCATGTAAGTGAAAAAGAATTGGTTCAAGAAGGCAGGAATCAATCAAACTTCATTTGTCAGTGAAGTTTAAAAAGGGAAGGCAGGGTATTAAAAGAAGCCTACAATCCCTGTTAAGGTTTGACTATTGAACTTATTAATAACACTTCAAATTCACCAGTCACTCATTTATAAAAATGTTAGCAGAACACGGAAGAGCACACAGGGTTTAAATAAACTTAGCTTTTTGTGAAACATCAATCCATAATAACCTATAATTGTTTCAGCTATTACGCTCAGGTTTTTAGACATGGCTAAGATGCAATAGAGCTGACAGCTTGTGAAACAAATTATGAATATAAAATATACATGAAAGCAAGAGTTCAAGCATGTACCATTGCATAATTCACTGCATTTCTCTGCATCTTGTGTCATGTAGCATATCCCGTATCCAATCTTGATTAACAATAAACGCAGTAGAACATTATAAAACTGATATTCTTAATTATATATTGCTGCACTTTTTATGTGTACTGCATTAATAGAAATACACATAGTAAGCCACAATCACTACAAAGAAACAAACCCTTCACACTGTGCTACACCAACACTTGTACACAAGCATCCAGGCAATCCTTCTAAACTCAAGAGAAAATACTGAGATTCAGTCACACTCAATATAGAAGCAAGGAGCAGAGGTTTTCATTTATTGTCCTCCATCAAATCTTGTGCCCTTTCACTAGATATTTGTCATTCTGTGCCATGCACTAGTATCTTATTTCTGTAATTATAGTCCATTTGCATTTCAAGAACTCCTCAGCAGGGCAATGGTAGCATAATTTTCTTGTAGTACTTTTATTCAGAAATAGTGCTTTTATTCCCTGATTTCATGAAACCATATTTCAAACAATCTGCTATCTGTAGCAGAACATAGTATGTTACAGCTCATGGAGAAGTAACTGTCTGCAGTCATATTCTCATTCTCACAGGAAAAATAAGTTCTGCATGGACTGTTCTTTCCTAAGTGATCATTCGAGCTTCATTTTCAAAAGGCATTGACCAAAATCTACCTGAATTGGGCTATTCAACTCAGGGTGCATAAAACAATATCAGAGGATGCTGCATGTCTTTTAGAAAACTTACACCTGATTCATTCTAACAGTGTCTCCAGACAGCCATTCAGGCTTCAGTGAATGTACATCATCTTACATCAACTACTTTTGGAATAAAGGCATATGTTACTTTCGGTTTAATTGCAACTCATCTCACTTCTATTTCACACTTCGCATTGGCTGTTAAATAGCAGGAAACAAATACAACTGGGTGTAATGTGCCAATAGGTATTTGTAAACATTGTACCTCTTCTTTCCAAAGACAAGAGAGGAGAATCTTCCTACCTTCGGTTCTACTCCTTTATGTGAAGAATGGAAAATCATTAATTTAAAAAAAGAGCAAACCCAATAAAATGATTTCTTACTTGCATCAAGCAAAATCAAGTCACCATTTCTTAGAAGTCATCAAGTCAGTCGTGGAAACAAGTTTCACAGAGAAGTATTTTATGGTCTTATAGACAGTAATATCTGTTACACATTAAGAGATTTAGTCCAAGATGGCCAGACTCGATTTTCATAGGTCCTTTACAAATTAAGTATTCTATTCAAACCTCAGAAACATGGGGCAGAAAGAAATTTCCTCTATGTTCCAAGATGCTTTAAAGCAGTGCATCAGTTACACAAAGGGAAGACAAACAAGAAGGAAGAAAATTACCTCAAGTTGTGTTCACAAATAGAAAGGAACTTCAGTTATTACAAAGGGGCTCACAAAATCATGCAAAAGAATTTTACATTTTCAAGGATAACTTTCACTCCCATGAGTCCACCTGTACAAAGCATGCAGGTTATAAGAAGCAGTAATGCATAGAGCACACAGGCTGCATACTGCTGTGGCTATGCGATGATGCTATTCAGTGTGAACAACTGTATATGTACTCTCTTATTTAATGCTTGCTTGTTCTTTCAATTCTGCTCCTATGGTCTGTTGCTGAGTGATGCTGATCTTTGTATCTTGACTACTAGGCGCGAGTTCCATTGCAAATAACCAATCTATTTTCCTGTTGCTTAATGTAAAGCCAACAAAAATGCCAGCACTTGATTTCCCACTGTTCTCAGCTGTTGTTCTGGGGAGCAATATGAGTAAAACAGCTCACTTCCCAATGGATAAGCACACCACTTGCCAGATTATTCTCAAACTTCATGGATTCACTGAAGTAAAGGGAGATGGTGAGGCAGGGGGATAATAGACAAGAAAAATAACGGAATGATATACATTTCACAGTTTTATATCTTCTAAGAGCAGAACAAAGTATCATGTTTTGAGCTCACCCACTGTATGAAAAGCCATTATATTTTATCCAGTCATCCCACTACCTGCTCAGCTGTGTTTTATTAAAGCTTATCTTACAATTTTACTTATTTTTTTAAATACAAAAATCCATCAGCTCCCCCAGTATTTGTTCAATTGGCTTGTCACTTTAACTGAATGATAGATAAGGTAAGGATGGATCTCTGTAGCCAGTGTTCACAAACCAGATTTAACACAGTCAGGGCAGCACAAAATTTAGCATGTTTAGAATTTAACTGCTGTTTCTGTGGCACCTTTAGTAGGTTACACAATCTACAGTGTAAAACAGGTTGCCTCTGCATTCGACTTCAAATTGCCAGAGACAGCACAGATAGACACACATGTACCCAGAGGCACAGAGGAAGAACCGTTAATTGCTGAACTACTAGAAAACAGCAACTAAGGACACCTACCACCCACCACCTCTACTGAAATACTGCACAGTGATAGTAATCCATCTAGGGAATTTCTTCTAGAAATTTATCTCTTTGATCTATATCTATAGATCTGTATAGAGAGATATCTCTCTTTCTCTCTCTATATAGGCTACTCTAGGAATCACCTGCTACACAAAGATGCTGAATGCAAACACATTTAAAATTAACTAATTGTTACCTGCCTAAAGTTTCCCCATTCACATATCACACAAGATAACTCTAAGTTAACCCAATTATATAGATCTACAGTTATAGAATTAATCAATTCAGTTCATTTGTCTACAGCTGCAAACAGGATGCTTTTACCTCTAAGTAGTGGAATTTCTACAGTATTTATAAAGAATACCACTTCCATAGCCAATTTTCTCACCAGGGGTTGCACAACAGATACAGCACTCTGCATCTTCAGGCAATATTAAAGATATTGTCTTGCTCTGCCATTTTCACCAGTGTTTCTGGTGTGCAGCTGAAGTATTTAAAAGAATGTCAGCTGTAAAGAACAGCTAGTGGAAAGTTAAGTCAACTTTAGCAGGTCCTTAAGAATATGACAGGCTTACAACTGCTAATAAAAATTTATTTCTGAAACGTACAAATAACTTCAGTACTTAATGCAATATCTGTAAGCTACTTTGCTTTGTAGTACAAATATGTAACAGTTTATTAGAACAAGGTCTTCCAAAGAGGCCAAGGCTGAGGATCATTCCTTAATAGTTAGAAAAAGAAAAGTACTGTGTATTACACTTTAAACCTACTCTAAGTTCCCAGCTGAATGCTAGACCAAATTGACCTAGACATAATATCAGAATATGACTTTATAACAGTATAAATGTATTTCAGTTTCATAGGAAAAAAAACAATCATTTTTATGCTGTTACAGAAACAGGAAGTTCAAGAGACAGATTTGATTACAGTCTGTAAATGCAAAGAAAGTATCTGACTGTTACAAAAATAACTCTATAGGCTTATAATGATTCTGAATTAACAACAGTAGAAGTTTATATTGTTACAAACTCACAGACACTAGTATATTAAAATGCACAGATATTAATCTGAATTTAGTTATGCATATGAGATAGAAAGTTTCTTTGCTTCAAAAAAGTGTGCAAACAAAGAATTTAATCTTAACAAATATGCAAAAATTAAATTTACCATTGGATCTTTTTTTAAAACAGTTTATACCTAGCATTTAAAACTCCAGTGCTATCATTATACACCTTCCATAAACACACTGCTCCTAAAGAATATGGAATTTAAGCAGAAGTATGGAAGAAGGAAATGTCAATTTCCTTCAAAAGCATGGAAAACAATCAGGAAAAACCTGGATAGTGGTGTACTTCAGGAATTTGAAGATAAGTGATTAGGAAGTGATTACTGTATAGATGTGGAGTTACTGCATATAATATCTACATTCTGGCAAAGAAGACCTTAGATAAAAAGGAAATCTAAAGGATTTCTTTCCCAAGGAAAGTTTGGAAACAGACAGCCAACATCTGTTCAGTTTATTAGATTTATTTGAAATAATTGATGACGTCTTTTCACATCTTTCCTGATTCTTCTGTTCATACCCCCCAGAATTACAAATGCCCAGAGAAAAAAAAAGCACCATCACAGCAGGGGCACGAGAAGGGAGGGAATTGGCTGCTATATAGATTCACCTGTCAGGCAGCAAAACTGCGAAATAGCATGCAAAGTCTTCTCATTTCCAGAGTACATTCTTGATCTGAAGTGAAAGGCAGTTATTACAACATCAAGTTTAGTTTCACAGGCACTTGAGGTCCTGGAATGAACTTGTTACAAATGTGATATGGCTGCCTTCAGTCAGTGACACTGCACACTACTGCATCTCTTGGCCATACTCAAACCTCAGTAGACCTCAATAGGAATCTGCTTCTCATCTCTCACTAAGTTTTCTGTTCTTCCAATCACATGTGGCCAGTATTCTGGACAGCGTGTGTCCCACCAACTTGTGGAAATAGAAAAATTGGCAAGAGGAATTTCAACTCTGATGTTCACTGGAAAGATAAATTTGTAAGGACAACCCAAGCAGTTTTCAAATTTAAATGGAAAGCGTCTCATTATCCTTTCTCCTTCTGTATGCACTTTCCTCCGCAAACCTATAACACATGGAAAAATATTGTGAAAACTTGATCTCCACTTGAGTTATAGACACCAGCAGGATCCCATATATTTATTTATTTATTTTAGTATTAATAGAGGTAGAAATGCTGTAAGACATTCTGAAAAACGTCCAAAAAGGTCCATGCAAGTATATGTAAATGTACAAAACACCTTCAGAATAGGTTGTATAGTTTTACTTCTTTCCTTTACCTGTCACTTTTTCTGTTCTTCAACATCTCCATGTACTTTAGTTAATTTATTCCACCAATCACAGTAGAAACCTAGATGACTAAAGAGACAAGCTTACTCATTTTCACATGCTTCTCGTGGATCTTTAGGTCAAGAGTTTTATTGAAGCTACAACAGCAAACCAGTAAATACATAAATTCCACAAACTTAGGATGACAGTCAGTTTATAAAAGAAACATACTGCCAGTAAGATAGCAAAAGGAGCTTTAAAATGATACCCACATACACATACGTGTGAAGTGCTATTCAGAAAGCAGGGCTGACAAGGCGGAGCTGAGAAGCAAGGCAGATACCTTGCATCATCTAGAACTGCTTGTTAATTTGTATTTGCAGTGCACAGCATAATATAACAAGATCTGCATTACCTGCAAACTGCAAGCTAGACTCTAAGTGTACATCTGCAACATATATCCCCTTTGTTGTTTCTGATGACAAGAAATTTGGTATCATGAAACATTATCTTAACTTCACTTTTTTCAGAACAGTCCACTAAAGCTTTACAATTATGTTTCTAAAGCTAAATGGTACCAAATTTTGAGGACAGGAATATCTAGAAGAGAACCGCAGAATTTTTCCTATCACCTATTTTTCCATTTCTGGAGAGAAAGTAAGTACAATCATCTGCAGAAATCAAAACCAATATCAACTGTTACAGGTTGGTCAGCAACTCCTCAAAAAGCAGACGAAGTTACCTTGGGCAAATTACCCTATATATCTTGCACATCCTAAGGCTACAGCTGGAGCCAGCCAAAGCTTGTATATAGAGATTAGTGGGAGTTTCTGTTGGATTTAAAGAGATGGCAGAAGATGGAAAGCCAGGATAACTTGGCTGGAAATGAAATCTCTGACATTCGTCTTGGAATTGCTCAGTATTTTCTGTCTGACCTGACAAACTGAATGACAAGCCCTGCAGCAAAGTGAGATGCACCCTGCAGATTTCCATAGCCTTCACAAGGAACACACCTGCACTCACACAGCTGAAACATCAGGGTTTAAGGACATACAACAAACCTTTCAAATATAAGAGAAGAAAGCACCACCACTTTAAAAGATAAACATTCCAGAATTAAGAGGTGAACAACATAGCTTCCCAAGGGAGATTCAAGGATTCATTCTCTCAGAATTCTTGTAATACACAGCATGCTGCTAACCTCCAAGCATTCACAGAAAATTCCAGATCACTATGGGAAAAGTTGATAATGCAAAAACTATGAATCATGCAAAATCATACGAATCATATTTCAATGATACTGCATATCAAAAATTCGGTTTTAAATAGTCCGGAAGAAAACATATCTGAAAGAAGTCTAGGAATTACAAAAAAAAAAAAAAAAAAAGTGTTTGAGGTTTCTTTGAAATCTTCTATGCTGTGTAACATATATGAAGTGTGTGTATTTCCCGAGATGCTTTTCTCAAATGTTTGAAGTTTTGTCTAAAAGGCTGTATTCCTGCTGTGAAAAACTTAGTTCTACACATTCAAACACCTTATTTTTAGCATCGCCAGAGTAAACCAGTGAAGAGCTTACAAGACTCAGAAGCACTGGTATTTCACAGTGAGGTGCTCATTCAAGGAAGTCAGTGGCCACAACTAGTTTTGATTGCCGAGCCACCCTCCATCATATTTGAAAAATCATGGCTGCCTGGTGAAGTTCCGAGTGCCTGGAAAAAGGGAAACATTACTCCCATTTTTAAGAAAGGGAGAAAAGACGACCCAGGCAACTACAGGCCAGTGAGTCTTACCTCTGTGCCTTGGAAGAACATGGAGCAGATCCTCCTAAAAACTACATTAAGGCACATACAAGATAAAAACGTGACTTGAGACAGCCAACGTTGCTTCACTAAGGGCAGATCATGCCTGACCAATCTGCTGGCCTTCTACGACGGAATGACTGCTTCAGTGGACAGGGGAAGGGCAGTGGATATCATCTACCTGGACTTCTGCAAGGCCTTCGACATGGTCTCTCACCACATCCTTCTCTCTAAATTGGAGAGGTGTGGATTTGAAGGATGGACTGTTTGATGGATTAGGAATAGACTGGCTGGTCACAGACAAAGGGTTGTAATCAATGGTTCTGTGTCAGGGTGGAGGCCGGTCACAAACAGTGTCCCTGAGGGGTCATTCTTGGGACTGTTGCTCTCCAGCATCTTCATCAATGACATAGATGATGGCATTGAGTGCACCCTCAGCAAGTTCATGGATGACAACAAGCTGAGCAGTTGATATATTGGAAGGAAGGGAAGCCATCCAGAGGGACTTAGACAGGCTGGAGAAGTGGGCCCATGAAAACCTAATAAGGTTCAATAAGGCCAAGTACAGGGTGCTGCACTTGGGTTGGGGCAATCCCAGGTATTTATACAAACTGAGGGAAGATCTGCGTAAGAGTAGCCCTGAAGAGAAGGACTTGGGTGTTCTGGTGGATGAAAAGCTGGACATGAGCCAGCAGTTTGCTCTTGCAGCCCAAAAGACCAACTGTGTTCTGGGCTTCATTAAAAAAGGGGTAGCCAGCAGGGAGAGGGAGGTGATTGGCCCCCTCTACTTGTCTCTTGTGAGGCCCCATCTGGAATACCGTGTCCAGGCCTAAGGCTCCCAGTACAGGAAGGATGTGGACCTCTTGGAGTAGGTCCAGAGGAGGGCCACTAAGATGATCAAAGGGCTGGAATACTTCTCCTATGAAGAAAGGTTGAGGAAACTAAATTTGTTTACCTTGGAGAAGAGAAGGCTCTGGGGAGACCTCACTGTGGCGTTCCAGTACTTGAAGGAAATGTATAAACCAGAAGGGAATGAATGCTTACGAGGGTGCATAGTGATAGCACAAGGGGGAATGGTTTTAAACTGAGACAGGGGAGATTCAGATTAGATATTAGGAGAAAGTTTTTCCACACAGAAGGTGGTGAACTGGAACACTGGGCACTGGAACAGGTTGCATGGGGAGGTTGTGGATGTCCTGTCCCTGGAATGCATTCAAGGCCATGCTGGTATGGCTCTGGGCAGCTTGGTCTAGTGGTTGGTAACCCTGCACATAGCATGGGGATTGAAACTTGATAATTGTGGTCCTTTTCAACCCAGTCCATTCTACGATTCTGGTTTTCATAGAATCACAGTACCATGGACAGGCCAGGTCTCATAGCTTTTCCTTGTAAAGGACCTTCATCTTTGCAGCCCTCTGCTGGACTCTCCCTATAAGTTTGCTGTTTGCAATACTAAACAAAACCTATCCAAAATCCCCCCAAAACTGCATTGGTGAGGCCATGAACTTTGAGAGTGGATATCAACACAGGATGGACATTAAATGCAAGTTTGAGACACTGAGCATCTTCATTCCCTGCCACACAGTTATGTTAGAATGAGCATACACTTAACTTACATGTGGAGTAAGTTATAACAAAATACAGTAAATTATTCCCAACACACCCTTCCTTTTAAGGTATATGAACAGTTTTAAATAATGTACCTCAGTGGAGGAAATTTTATATCTTGTCCATGTTACTATCCTTGGATTTGCTTTGTTAGCTAAACTTTGTGAGATTATTTTTCTTTTCTGATTAATTAGCCTAGAGCTCATGGAAATGCATGGCTTTCAGTATGCTCTCAAATTAATCTAAAATCATACAATTATTTACAGGCATTTTAAAATGATATGGAAAGACAAGTGGTTATACTCATTACAATGAACCCACACTGATGTAGACAAGTTGAGACTGACTTTATATAAGTGTACGTACACACATAAACAAATGATTTTGCTCAGCCTACAGTTTAAGAAATAAAACAGGAATTATCTATGGCTCTCTTGTTCAAAGTCATTATTGGCCAACATTTACAATATTAAAAAGCTACAGTGATCAAGAGGTTTCAAACACTAAATGAAAAACAGCATTACTGTAAATCTATTTTGTAATTTAAATTTAGCAGAAGTTACAAGACCACACACTAGTTCTTTTCCTCTGCCTTTTGAGAAATTACTTGCTTGTATTACAGTAATGGGCATTCACTTCATACTTGTGATCTCAGCTACAAGAGACAGACACCACAAAGTGTTAAGTACAACTGCACACATTATTTTGAATTCACTTTGTAGGGATAACAGTTCAATCCTTCTTGACTTTTACTGTCTTTTCTGTGCCAAGCAACATTCCTGAGCTGAGAGAGACTTTCCAAATGGAAGAAAACAAAAATCCCTTGCATGCCTGAAAGAATACATAGTCTGGGGACAAGTAAGGGAAAGAGAAATCAGCTACAGTTTAGAACAGCTTCTATATATCAGAGGATAAAAGAAAGATATAAGGTCTGAGACTTGCTGCTTTAATCCACTTTGTATATCCAAAATCTATTTAAAACATTACTTGATATATCTTCCCCTCTGTCCTTCTGCTCTCAACCCAATTCTGGCTCATTTCCTACAGCAACTTGTGGTGGGCTGCATGCTGTGCTGGCCTCCCCAGCCATACAAACCTGCCTGCCACCAGCTGCTCCTGCTTACAGATCACATCCACAGGCCCTTCTCCTCCGGTTCTCAGAAAATACACCTGGCCACTGCAGTGGATCAGCAAAGCAAAATCCCTTTTGACACAAACTAATACTTTCCTTTCTTTGGGGAAAATATTGTTAAACAGCATACTCTACAAACACAGCTCTGCTTTCCAATGAAGTGGCACATGTTCCTGCAAGTTCAGGGATGGAAGGTGAGATGTGAGCTTAGGAAACCTAATTAGAAGAGATAAAAAGAAATACTGTGTATACAGAATACAAGCTTACAGGAAAGAATCGTTTATACAGATGCTTGCAACAGCTCTGTGTGATCCCGCCTCACATTGTTAACATTGAGCCTGAGAGAAAGGCTCATGCTGGACTACACTACCATCATTTGCTTGTTTAGCTGTTGATTTTTTGTGCCTTTCTGGAGATCACTAGCATCTAAAAGGATTACAATTGTGATGCAAAATATAATGCACTTTACCTAAACAATGTACATATGTAGCTTTATTTATCTTCAGCTTTCTGTTGAACATGCCTAATTAGTTACACCAGGCACTGCACTACAACAGGAGTTTCCTATGCAGTTTCCTACACCGTTTTATTCGCTAAATACCTTTGTGACAGTTTCTTGGCAAGAATTGCAGCAGAGAGGTTAACATATGTTAAGAATACATACAGCAGTCATTCTTAGTTAGAATGCAAATAAATTGGAAACATCACAGCAGTAGCATTTCCTGCACTTGCAAGCCAAGTAAGTTCCCTTCAGGAGTTTGAGCCAGGAGCAGACCCTACCACAATGGTAGGGGCCTGTCCAAAGGCTGATACTCAGAAAGTTGGCTCATCAGTGGTTCTAATCCATAAACTAACATTTAACCTCTTATTCTGGAGTCTCTGTTCTGTGTAGCTGGTGTAACTGTTCTGCAAAGTAAACCTACAGATTTGAAAAAGCAAAAAATAAGATCATAGTACAGGACTAAGTGTAAAAATCCTTTCTAATGTAGGACTGAGATTTGCAGAAATTATCCAGATAAATAGAAGTATGTGCAGGTGTGCTTAAAGAATTATGTCTAACACAAAAACAAGATCCAAAATTTTTCTCCTGCTCTTGCCATGCTCATGTCTTAAACCTAATCTTAAACCTCTCATAACTTTTGCCAGTCTCATACTGACAAACATGGATAGCCCCTTTGTCACCACCATTGCATCAACTACTTTAACTCCACCAATCACTATGACTCCTTACCTGTATACCAAATCCCTGCTGACTCCTAACCAGTGTTAAGTAGTTCCTCAGCCAACTCTTTCTCTCTCCATCTATTCCACCTATAGCAGAAAAGGGAATTTTAGCACTCTATAGATCTTGAGCCTTCAGCCTCGGGAGTCAGGACCTGTCTCTTCAGACAAGATTCTGCACAAGAGGTCCAACATATTTCTGACAGAAGATAACAACTGCGGGCATACATAAGTCAAGATGAAAATATTGAATAGAGAAAATATACATTTAAAGGCTGACGGTCGCTGTGTTTTTAATGCCTGGAATTGATCATCTGTGACCCAATTGTGTTAAATACTGTGTGCCACAAACTATTGTTAATAAGTTGAATGTTGTTAGTATTAAAAAAACAATAATACTACTACCAGCATAGCACACAGAGATCCTGATTAAAACTTTATTACCTTCGGAGAACAAAAGTAAATTTAAAGAGGGATTTGAAGTAGATGATGAAGAGAGTTGTGCACTTACATTGCCCAGATGCACAGGTTTACTGGACCAATCAGACATCTCTGGCACAGAGCAAATGACTTTGTTTATGTATCTATCTCAGTTGGGACTTACATATAGTTAAGATGGCCACATAGAACTTTTAAGGCTGAATTGGAGATTGAATGTGCTAACATTTACAAGGGCTGTGCGTACAAAACACACAGAATGTTTCATAAAAGAAAAGATTAAAATTTTACTAATAAAATCATATAAATGACTGTTATTAAAACTTGACAGACTACTGATTTATGCTAAATTTCATACTGAAAACAGGTCAGTTTGATTTCTTGTCGTTATCCATGGAAGGGGGGGAACAAAAAAAAAAAAAAAAAACTATCTCTAGAAACTTCTGAGTCAGATTTACATTTTCATGGACTGTTCACAAAATAAAGTGATGTCCTTTGCAGAAACATCAGGAAACGAGCAGAAAATTAATTCCAACACACAACTTCCCTTAATGTTTTCCAGAATTTTTTGTTCTGCAATGGCACAACACTGGCATTCTGAATAGAAATCAGCTATTTCCACAGCCTTTTAACATGACTCTGTCTTAATTTCTTACTCCAGAGAAAAAAAAAAAAAAAAAAAAAAAAAAAATCCCTGACTAGGTCTTTAAAAAAAATCCCATCTAGTCAATCTTTCCTGCTATATCACTGTTTGCGATTGTAGACACACATATATTCTGCTCTGGCATAAACTTGCACTCATTGCTATTAAGAACACTATCATTCACCCCATTACTCATCCCACATCCTCAAGCTGCTGCAAGCATTTGTGCAGCAACTCAGTGAACCAGAGCAGAGTTAAAGCTATGTGCACTTTAGAGAAAAGAAGAGAGAAGAGATTGTAAGCTTGTCACCACTCCCTGCATGGCTTCACACCAAAATTTTTAAGTACAACTAGGGTCTGGAAGGAAGCATAAGGCAGTTATGGAGTTAAAAGATTGAGAGAGAGAAGCAGCTTCATTCTCTTAATACGTTTAGTCAGATTTTTAGTTTTTGTGGATCTGAACAGCATAGCAGGGCCTTGCATAAGCCTCAGCACTAGCAAATGATTACCAGAATAAACACGCTTATTCAGTAGAGATGTCTGACCTAGCTAACTAAGGGCTACCTTAGTTACAACTACAGATAACTTGACTTTTTATATTCTTGATCACTAGTGTTACATGCAGGATCACAAACTGATAGCCTCCAAATAACCATTTCTTTATTTATTCAGTTCCACTGAACCTCTCATCCTCTTTGGCCAGTTGCATTCCAACCATTGTTCTTATCACTGATTCCCAATATTTCCCTCCAATTCTCCAGCAGAATTAGTCACTTCAGTTTCCCTCTTCTTGCTGGACTCTAGTCTTGTTACTATTATTTTTTTATTTATCTTCTGGTTTGCTCCACTATCCAAGTCCTTCTGTATTTATTTTTACCATCCTCAAAACTCTCAGATTCACTTGCTCATCCCTTTTTATTCTTTTGTTCCTCTTCTCCAGCTCTTCTCCACAGATCCTTTGTTTTTTTTTTTTTCCCCCACCAGTGAACACACAAATAATCTATGAACTGAATGTTCCAAGGTGTTTTCCTGGAAGTATTACATAATCTATTTTCCATACTGAGACCTGATGCCAAAAATGAATATTTTTACCACACTGGACTAAACGAATTTGCTGATAAACTCAATTGTAAAATGATGGAAAGCACAGCAATAATAACAGAGTAGCAAGGTCTGAGGCTACAGCAAGTGAGGATTTGCACAAACGTAACAGCTCTGGGCCCAAAAATAACGGAAAGAATCTGCTTACCTTCAGAAGGCCTCAGTTATGAAGGGATCCCCAGCAAGATAGCCTTAGCTCCACTGCCAACCCTTAAGTGAGGTCTAGGAACTGGCTCCAACCCTTCCAGTTGCTCAGCTACATTGCATGCACCTGAGCTCCCCTGCCTTCCTACCAGGTGCTCAATCACCGTTTCAAGCAGCCATGACTTAGCATTTCTACTACATCAGTCTTCTTGATGAGAAGTAGTAATTTGATATTCAGTAAACTCTCCTTTAGAGACACCTGATAGGCACTGTATTTCTTTTTACTTTGGTAGTGACAGGGTGAGAAATATTTCCCTACTAACAGAGAAATAATATCTTGTTTTCAAATCATTTAATAGTCTGTTCACTAATAATAGTTTTCCTATGATAATAAATGGTATATTCTAATTCCTAATTAATTCCACTAACTTCTATTACAGTAAAATGTGTAAAAACATCATTAAATATGTTTCTTAGAATGTTAATTAATAAACATAACAAGGGTATTTTTGTACTTTAAAGTGCATTAAGTAGACTAACTATGCACAAGAAGCACCACAGCAGTGTCCAGCAAATACTATTAGCTTTCTAACCTTCTACCGTATCTTGAAGCTATGTTAGTAAGAGGGATCCATTAATAGAAATCAATGTGGTAACAACCACCAAAACGCAAGGGTGAAGAAAGCAAAAGAGCACTGCTATGTTCTTGCACTGCCTCAGGACTTGTCCTGACAGACTACCTGCATAAGCCATGGGCAGCATTGCAGATGTGGTATGGCTCCATGTATATTCAAGAGCTGCACATCCTTGTTATCATCGTGCCCTCCTACCCACTGCATGCCTCCTTCCAGCAAGCTAGGTAGTTATCTCAGCACTATGCCAGAGTCTCACTATGGGTACACAAAGGTGTTTGTTGCAGTTCTCCCATGGGTTGCAGAAACACAAGGGAAGATTCCTAGCCAGATTTACAGGTTGAGAAGAGAGCTGCTATCAAAAATATTTTCTGACTTTTTATTTTATTTTATTTTATTTTTTTTTATTTGCATGTATATTTTAAACCTTTCTGCTATAGGATCACAGAATATCCTGAGTTGGAAGGGACCCACAGAGATCAAGTACCCTGTGTGTTCATTTGAACAAACACAGGCACACACACAGTCATATTCTTGTTTTGCATATTGGTTTTCCACCTCCAAATGAAGGCAGAGTGCATCAAAGACAAAACTGGGAAGCCAGCAAGACTGAAGACCTTGCTTTGGCCTTCCACACTCTTTAGAGAACTAGGGCAAATGACTACACAACATGTCATAATATGTTCTACGTTTACAGTTGTCATAACAAAAAACTAATAGCCACCTCTCAGGCATCCTCTGTATGTCATCATCTCTCTTTTTCCTGTACAAATAGAGCATCCAAATAACTCAAATTTTCCCAAAACTCTGTAGGTCTTTAGAAATATTCTCTAATACAAAATGGAAAATAGATACTTAGCATCTACTTGTGCTTAACAGCTTGTCCATAAGCTTTGTTTCAGGCATGAAGAGCTTCCCATGGAGAATTGGAACCTAGACAGTTTATAACAGAGCTTTTTTTCTCAGAATAAGTAGTGCTATATGCCATGCAGTGAGATGTCTGAGTACTCCTCTAGAGCATCTGCAGCATTATATCTATCATCCCACTTTCTAATGGTGTTATGTCTCACTGTGATAAGTAGAGCATCAAAGAACTTGGACAAACTTAGAATCACTTCATGTTGTATACCTGACTTTCTTATCATTTAGAAAGGTAGGGGGAGTGCCCTTCATATTCAAAAGCCAACTTTTTTCAGAGGATACAGAAAGATGTTTCACTATCAGAATATTTAGTACCAGTTGAAAAGAATTTTGAAATAGTCACATAGCTTAGTAGGTAAGTACCACAGTAATCTATATAAAATGTAACTACTAAACCTCACAAATTAGTTAAGAGGTGATTCAACACTTTTTTTTAAATGCATATAGCATCTTCTGAGTTAACATCTATTTCTGAATTAATACATATTTGTGGTAATTTATACATATATATATGTATATATACATACATTATATAAACATATTTAATTAGGCTTTAACGTTGCATGAAAAAGGGCTTTGGAGCTAGAAGAGCAAGATCTATTTATCTGTATAAAATATCTTCACTTTACGAGGGAACTGTAATAGATACAAGTATGACATATGAGTTTATCCTAAATTGTGACCAAATCCAAATAGCAGCCAGTTTTCATGAATTTCTACAAACAGAAATCTTCACAAGTACTGAAGACTTCCTTCCTTTGAAGCCTTACTGTAGGAAAACTGCTGAACCTGAGTGCTGATTCATTCAGACAGGACAGCTGGCCTCATTACTTTAAACAAATTCAGAAGTAAGATGTGGGAGAGACAGAAGGGCCTCTCATGAGAGCCTCTGATTGTCTGCAAGCCAGCATGCCAAGGTCTGAGAAAGAAGAATATGTACTTCACTGGGACAAAATTTGCTGTGGAGATTGATAATACTGTTAACTTTATCAGCAGATATACATGTACGGAGGATCTGGACTCCATTAAACTAGTTTTGAAATAGCTTGTAAATAAAACTAGAATTCCAGAAGTTTTTTTCAGTTGGACTCACAGTGAACACCTCCATCAAGCTGCACTGACCTCAAGGTCTTTTGCAGTCTTTTCTTAAAAAAGAAAATAAATTAAATTATTCTCCCAGATGGTGAGCCCAGCAACTCAGACACTAATCCCCCAAGCTTACATCAGCCTAACACATCAAAGCACAGATCTTTTTTCACTCCCTGGAAAACATTCAAGCAAGTAAAAAAGCTAATACTCTTCTTTTTTTTCCTCCCTTTCTTTTGTCAATCAAACTGTAAAACATATTAAGAGAGACATTTGAAGAGTAGCAAAATCTGTCTGCTCCTTACAAAGCTAACAATTTAGGATGCAAAATTTCTGAAGCAACTGCTAACTATTGCTGTTATTAAAACATTGCTGAAATATATATCACAAGTAGTGGCACTCACATGATATTTCTGTACAGGCACAGCTATAAAATGCCTAAGACTACATATTTAGCAAGATATTTTCCTAGTAACTTTCCTCAAGTGTCTGATGAACAGCAGCAACTAAAGGTTAACCAGATCTGCAAGTGGGCTCAGGGCAGAAAGAACATTCAGTAGCTGACATGAGGAGTCAAACCAATACCAATAGTCAAACCATCAACAAGATTGGTAAAGCTAACTGATTTTCAACTGAAGTGCGTCTTTTGCTTGCTTTCTTCTCTGTGCCCTTTAGGATGTCTGAAGCCAGTCTGTTCTTTTTATTGGTATATATTACAAAGAACACTTACAGTTCACGTCAATCTGTACAAAGCGTGACTCCTTGTTGAACACTGTTACTGAGAAAGGAGGTTTTTGTCACAGTACTGATCTCTAATCGGCTGCTAGGGAGAGATATGAGAGTTTTATATATAAGCAAACAGTTCTCCAAGTACATATGTAACTGCAAAGAGTAATAGATTGGAGAGAGTAATTCTCAACAGCTTCAATCCAGTGTTTTACTGGTTTTACTGCTCTTCTACTATTAAATAGGGCTTAGTTGAAGAATTAAAAGCTATCTTACAGAATATCTTACTTAGCTATAGGAAGTTATGTTCATTTCCTAAGGAATGCATTAAGCACTAAAATCAGAACCATATTTAAAGAGAGGCATGAATTACTAATTTTCTAAATATAACTAAGATAGAGTGTTAAAACAGCTCAGTCCCATTGGTGGATTTTTTTTTCCTGCACATAAAAAATGACAGCTAACAAATATTACTAGAACAGGATACTAGAACAATGTAATTTAAATTAGCTACAATTCTCATCTTTCCAAATTTCAATGTTTGTATGCCCCAGTTATCTGCTAGGTTAAAAGGAAAGCCAAGGGCTTCATGACTGAGCAGAATTTCAAGGTAAAGGTCACACATTCCTGACATGACTATACACACCTGTCTGGAAACATGAAATTGTTGGTAATAAGTAAAGAACCAATACTTGAAGTGAAAAACAATGCTACTTACATTAAAAAAAAAAAAAAAAAAAAAAAAAAATTTATAAAAAGGGTTATCTCCCTTTTTACATATATTAAATAATATATAAAAAACACTTTTTCTCTTTTTTTTTTATTTTTTTTTTTTTTTTTTTTTTTTTTTTTTTTTTTTTTTAAATACAGCTTTCCTAAGCAGATGCTCTTTTTACTTTGTTTTCGATTTAGAGGCAAGACAGAAGTGAAATCACTTTAAAAACAGAAGACTTCAGTCAAATTAACAATTAATAGTACACAAGGACTTTCAAATGAAGGATTTTACCAGCATGAAAACAAACATTTCTGTGTTGGGTAATAATGTAACACCTACACTCTGAACCATATACATGAGAAAAATACAACAGTAATACCAACAAAGGAAAAGTCACATAAAAACTCGAAATATATTCCAAGTTTTTATTCTATCATTCCCTCGAAAAATACATATTCTAGCTGTCACTGGGTATCTACAGAGAAACCCCTGTGTGGTAACAAGCTGGCAAGAAACTGACATACATTCAGGACAAATAACAGCAAAGTTGGCTGTGGAATCATATGATTAAGTTTATGGATACAGATTATTTTATTTTATTTTATTTTTTTGATAGGCTCACTTTCAGCAGCTGCTGTTGCTCCCACCCAGGCTATTTGTTTACTCTTACTCCTGAACTATGAGTAGTTTACTGTGTCTGTAAAACCAGTGGTTTTATAGGCACCTTGTAAACGTGATAGGCAGAATAATGGGAAACAAAAACAAACATAAAAAACAAAACAACAACAAAAAAAAAACAGCTGGTTTGTTAATTTACATTCAGCTCTACCACAGCATGGCTGTACCCCTGAACAGGAGAGAATACCTGCACTGAAAAAGGGACCCAGACCTTCAGAAAACAGCAACAGGGAAGACTTACTTTTCAGAAAACAATTCTGCCTCCTTAA